ATATATATATATATATATATATATATATATATATATATATATATATATGAATGTCCTCTAACATTATGATAATAGGTTTCTTCCTAGCATCCAAAATCACACTATTAAAGCTCTCTGAAAAGCCATTCTCCATAGATTCACAAGATGAATTGTGAACTCCAAAAAAAGCTAGAGACCAAGTTTTTAGATCTCTATCCATAAGATGCTTAATGGCTTCGAGATTCAACTTTTTAATCTCTTTCATGACTATGTTAAAATGTGCTTTAGTTGTTTCCTTTCTTGATCTCCAAAACAAATTTTTAAACTTGGCCCTACTAAACTTCTTTCCAAAATTGGCATATATATGCCTAGCACACTGCCTATGTTCTGCTGGGAATACTACTTTGACTGCCTCAACCAAACCCTGCATATGTACCAGGAATAGATGAAGTTAGAAATGTAAATATTTATTATACTATGTTTAATATTTTACAAACATACCTTGTGTTGATCTGAAATTAAAACCAAACCACTTCCTTCATTCCAACACTACAAATCTTCTAAAAGATTTTCAATGAACCATTTCCAAATCTCCTAGTTTTCCACACATACAACTACCCAAGCAATTGGGAATATTCCATTGTTAGCATCCCTACCAACAGCACAAAGCAACTCACATTGGCAAAAACTTTTCAGGAAACAACCATCCAAGTTAATGATCCTTCTACACCCTCCCTTCCACCCCTCTTTGACTGCAGCAAAGCATATGTAAATATTGTTGAAGTAATTCTTACCATTAGGCATTGCATCCACATAAATTTTAACAGTGGATCCAGGATTGAATCTTTTAATCTCTTCACCATAAGACCATATAATTTTCTGCAACCGTGCCTTTAGCTAGACTCAATGCATACTTCTTGGCTCTCCTACACTGTCTCATACTCACAACAATGCCAAAAGTGGTTTTCACCTCCTCTCTAAGTAATCTCACGCACATCTTTTGATTGTTAAAAAATTGTTGGGTAAAGTGGGTACCTATCCATTTATACGTGACAATTGATCCGAATTTGAAATTCTTTGAACAATTATGGTCACTAATAAGAGACTTGATCTGGAAAGACTAATCATCACTCATCCATGAACCCCAAACCCTAAATGTACATTTTCCATCACAACATTTGGCTAGCAACCGTCTACTATCATTTTTCACAAAACATAATTGATAACCATTTGCAACAACATAGTTACAGAGCATGTGTTTCAATTGTTTAGGACTCTCAAACCTCATACCTAACACAGGTTCCTGCTCCTTCCAATGTAGCTTTTCACTGAAAATATTTGGCAACTCGTGATAAACATCTTCATTGTCATCCATGGCTTCTTCCAAAGGGTCACCCAAACATGCATTCTCACCCATGTCGACATCAGGGCCATTATCCTTTTTGAAAAAATGAGGGCTGCTATGGTCATCCTCATTTTCATCAGCATCCACATCCTCATCCTCATGGTCATCCCCATCCCCATCCTCATCATCATCTTCATCTTCATCCTCATCCTCATCCAAATGGCTTGTCTCAATTTCCTTAATTAGTCCCGCACCATCAATCACTTCTTCCACTATGTTATCAACAACCTCATATTTGTGTTCATCCAACCATTCTTGCATGTTACTTTTACCAGAATGGTCTACATACATAGGGAGTATAACACCATATTCTTAAGTTATTGCTATAAAATCGGCATAATCCATCTCATTGGAAATTACGGTCAAACCTTTGGGAAAATCAATATATGGTTGGCAGTAATAGAGTTTCTCACACTTTTCTCCAGTGAACCTTTCGATAAACTAACACCCATTCGTGTCCATGCCTGTAACATCGATGTCCGACAACCTCTGAGTAATCCCCCTGGTGTAGCGTATGGGGTATTTTGTGAAGATTCCTTGGAAGTGCACATCGACTTGGATGAATACAGGATCCATGTTTGAGGTTTGAGGAGACGAAAGCAAGTAAGGGTTTATCGAAAGAGATGGAAGTGGTGAACAGTCGACGGGAAAAGATCTCGTTTAAGTAAAGCTATTATTAAATGACATTGCATACACAATCAGCAAGACAAGGGGTTTAAGTAACGCAGGTGACATAAATATGACCGGCTGACCCCTTCATAAATGAAATAATGACGAAATCGACCCGATAAAATAAAATCCGTGTAACATCCCAAAATTCAAGGCCAAAAATTTCATTTTTAAATAAGTTATTATAAAACCAACAGTATAAGAAAACAACCATAATATCATGTCATGTCAAAACCAAAGTAGAAGTAATCAAAACATGTTATCATAAAACAATATCAGTGTGTAATCCCAAAGATCTCATGTGCGGAAAACCATAGTGTGATGCGCTGCGATCGAGTCGGCTCATTTCCTTTGAAAACGAAGTACCTGAAACCAAAACTGAAAACCGTAAGCACGAAGCTTAGTGAGTTCCCCCATCATGCCACATACCATACAATCACATAGCATACATACTACCGAGCAATTCTGGGGTGCCCGACCTACCCATGTCAAGCCATTCTGGGGTGCTGATTACCTGTGTCAAGCTATTCTGGGGTACTGACTACCCATGTCAGACCATTCTGGGGTGCCTGCCTACCCTTCGGTCTATCTCACCCGGTCACGGGGACTATTTCACCCTCTACTACTATCGTATAATAACATATCATAAACATGATGTCAGACATATCTGGGGTGTCCGACCTACCCTTCGGTCCTAACAACCGATCGGGGGACTATTCCCCTTCTACTACCACTATCACATATGACATAATATGCTGGCACATAGAACACATCAAGTAATAGCAAACCAGACAATTATCACAAAGATAATCATCTCAACTGTAATCAACTACTAGTGGGTCGGCCTTGGTGCCTTAGACCCACTTCTACTGGAAGGTAACTCACCTCACACTGCTGAAGTCCCGTAGACACAATCCCAGCTGCTGGATGACAGCTTCCTGAACTGTCAATATCAAAACATCACCCAATTAATAATTGGGTTCCACTACATCACTATAAGTACATACTTGGGGTCATTACTACATTACCCCATGCTTGGCTTTATTCAATCCCAAGGCCCAATCCATGGGCCCAAAAGTCCAACCATGGCTCAAAGCCCAACATATGGCCCAATTTTCCAAATTGGGCCCATACCTCTATATGGTCTTATTCTGAGGCCCAACCAAAAGTCTAGTCCAACATTCGACATTCTAATGGCCCAATATCACATAATCATGAAGGCCCAATAGAAAGGCCCAACAATAAATCCAAGTGAAATTAGGGTTTCACATAAAATGACGATTAGGGTTAAGTGTTTCTCACTTAACCCATTAAGGACTTAATCCATTAAGTCCAACACTCTTCTAAATAAATCATATGGTGTGATTAGGCTTAATACATAGTTCAATATAAAATTTTATAAATGTCTTGTTTAAAAGTAAGGTGTCTAACCCCAGATCAATTCAATGTCCCAACTGCTTGGGTAGACTTATTTCACCCTCACTCATTTGTTATAAGATATGTCTTAGATAAGCTCAATTACATATAATTGGCCATCTCCTCAACGTAAATCACATTTAAATGTCGCTAGCTAATATTACCCGGTCCGCATTGAATAACCATATTCATATAAATACTTACACCAAACCTTAATTAAATAAACAATGTCCATATTAAGTATTCACATGATAAAATATAATTAACCCAAAATAAGGCCTTGCTATTGCAATCCAAATTCCAAGTCCAATACTAGATAGCTTCATCATCTAGCCAATTGGTTTACCAGCCCAATAAACAATTCGTTAGCCCACTAGAAATCGGGCCTAAGTATCCAAACAGGGGAGTTAAGGGAACCGGTACCTTCATCGCTTCCAGCTTCGATGCCAAACAGCGCCTCCCTCCATGACCAATTCCACACTTCCACTCCAGTAGTAGCCTCACCTCCGGCGAAGCTCCCATTTCCTGCACACAGTGACCGTTGGTTGGAAGCACTCAACAGTCTCCCTCATCGTCTCTGGAGAGGAACGGGGCTATCAAATCCATCTCCTGTTTCTTGATTCTTTGAAGGCGCCACAGTGATTTCCTCAAGAGCAAAACGAAGGTCAACACCCTGCTAATCGTCATTGCCATTAATGGCTTTTAGCACCGCCGTCGGCGATATAGCTCGCCGGAAAATCATTAGACCAGAGAAACGGGATTAAAACCCATCAATCAATCTCTCTCTAATCGAAATCACCAATGAGAGAGATAAGAAATAAAAAGGGTGAATCGAGTCTTACCTACTTTCACTGCTGAACATACGGGATTCATCGGAGACCCACGCAAATGTCGGAGAGTAACGCAACCATTAGAAGACGCCTCCCCATCGGGTTCACGGTGTCGAGCAGAGTGGGTGCTGAAGGATTGATTCTGTTCTCGCTAGTCTACCACCACCTCTTTCTCTCAACAAATACTCCAGTGAGAGCCCCGAAGGACGCCATAGCCTGGTGGCGGCAGCCTCCTCTTGTCCGACTTCCTCTTGGTCATGGCACTCTTTCACACCTCTCTCTCTTACTCCCTCTTTCCCTCTCTCTTAACGCCTAAGGACGTATATTCCCTTCATTCCATTTAAGGATTTGCTCCTTATAATCTGATGATGCGGGTGAGGCAACAAGAGCAGATACAGGTCCCTCCCTCATGCTCTGTCGCTTAACAGGGGGACCAGATGCTTAATTTTCACATATAGGCATAAATAGTCCCTGATGTTTGGTCACCTTACACGCTTAACCCTTCACCTTAAATTCCATTCAAACTAAGATCCATAATTTACCCAAACAGCCCTCCGCTTTGAGAATCTTTTGCAAAACAAATCCAGAAATTACCCTTTAGCCCCCGAATAATCCAAATTATAACATTTGGCTTCCAAAACCAACATCTCACTGAATATTATGGATTTTAGGGCTACTATTCTTTCTTGATTTTTTTTTTATCTATTCATCTACTTAATAAACAGGGTGTTACAATCTGTTCCCTCATAAAACCACTTAAAAAGTTAAGTGACTAAAAAGGTAAACCCTAGAGAGTTCATAGGTCGTATTTGTCATTTTCCCATTTTAAAAATAACAACAAAAAACAACTTGTGCAACAGTTGTACATGAAGGAAAACAAATAATCACCAAAACCTTACAAGTGTATAAACTAGACTAATCGTGAAGGGAAACACAAAACTCTATAAGCGTTTTAGGCAATGAACATTGAAAATACCAATTTATTATTGTACTTTGAGAATAGCACATTGCACTTTGAAAATCAATAGTAAAAACTTATTTTGAGCATGATAATGAAGTAGTAAGAAATCTTGAAACGATACCAAAACCCCAAGATCAACAATGCATGGTAATGAACTTTGGAGACAACAACACCCAATAGCAATGTACTTTTGAAAACGACACCTAACCCCTTAAACTTTTAATTCGAACAGATTTGTAAGCCAAAAAGTAGGATGAATTTTGAAGATTTTAAAGGTCTTTGATCGCATTGTGTTCCATGATCCAGGTTGGAAATTTATTAGTCTATTTATGATAATATGATTCATGATTTTAAAGGTCTGTTGAGGAAAGTGGTCTTGCATTCTGCTTCCATGGGTATTTAGATCTTCTGCAATCACTATCTCTATTAATTCGTTCTTTCTACATTAAACACATATAGCTTGCCGAATTAAGTCATGTTCTCTCAATTAAATTTAGACAAAAAAAAAAATTCTTCTAAACAACATTATATTATCATCCAAAAAACTCTAGCACAAACACCATGACTCCACCCATGATCATCACCCATGGTGACTGAATACACATGGTTGCAGCCTGACTCTTGTCTCCCTTCTTTGAAGTAGATGTATCGATTTTCTCACAACTAAGACCTTTCTTGTCTCCTTTACACATGCTAGCAAAAAGCCCAGGGGGGTATTTCCCATATACATTTATGTAACTAAACAAAGTTGATGCACAATTTGTCTTTTCATCGTTAATTTGTTCCCAATGAGGGCATGCAATTTGCAAAAAGGAATTACAACATGGCTCACGTTGGTATACTGGTCCTTTGCATTGGCTTGTGATGATCGTGTAGTTTTCATTCTCAAAGTTCACAGGACACGCTGTAAAAAATAGATTCTTGACTAGGTTAAGACTAGGTTAAATGGAAGAAATCCCAACTTGCTTTTATTTATTTGTTCATTATTGCATGATTGCATGCATCATACTTTTATTTTTCGCATTACAACTTTGTAATTTGGAAAAATCTAATCGGTTGTAACAATGTCATTGAAATATGTAATATGTGAATGATTTTTGTTTATCCGGGCATCATGAAAATGTTATAGAATAAATGAATAAACCTAATGTTCTTATTATGCGTTTTAAATTGGAACGAAGAAAGGAAAGAACTTACATTGTTTCTGTTGAAGAAGATTACGCCCAGTCACCTTATTATATTGATGCGTATTATCTATAAAGATTCGAGATCATCAAAAATCAAATCGATTGTGTGATTAATATGAGAAAAAAAAAATGAAAAAACAAGAAATTATTCAAGAAAAATATGATTATATGAAGTATTTTACATGAAATTGGGGAAGAAGCGATCAAGAAAGCAGGTGACAAGAGGAAGAAGACAAGGCAATGCAGAAACCGAAACGAGGCCATGAATTGTTGTATTCTTGTAAATTGTATCGATTGATATTCCTGGATTTGTTCAATAATTCCTTTTTTTTCTCCATGATAAATCATCATTTTTATTGTTATTTTAATAGGGTTTTTTTTTTTTTTGGGAAGATTGGGGTGGGGGAAAAAAGGGTTAAAACGTTTTCTAGTAAAATACTTTGCACTCCTTAATCTATGTTCCTAATTCCACTTTGACCCTTCATGTAGTAAAAAGGTTTGTATAAATCCAAAAAGATAAAATATTCATAGTGTGTGTGTGTTTATGAGATTTATCTTATGAAATTATTATTTGTAATCAATAACTAAGAAGCCACTCACTATTTCAAAATTCATGCATTTATTTCCAAGAAATATATCTATTTGTTATTTGGTGTTTTATATTTTGTAATAAGATTAGTGGCCTAATCAGTTAATTTGTTATTACCATTTATCATTACATATAAATTTATTAGATCATCTCCAATCAAAAATTAAATACCGTGTTAACACTATGTTTGGTTGGTGTGAAGTTATTCCATCTCAACACTATGTCTTAGAACATATATGGTGTTGTTTCGTTAACATTGAATTTCAATTTAGTATTAAATTTGCACGTGTAATTTGGTCTTTAGAGTTTAAGTTTATATACTTTTAGTTGATTCTAAGTTTTTTCCAGTTTGAATTTATATGTTTTTTGAATTTATATGTTTTGGTGTTAACATATAGTTATATTTTAAATATAATAATTGATTCTAAATTATTTAAAAAACTAAAATAAGTTTTCCTAATTTAAAATGTGATAAAATAATTAATAGATATTCATACTATTAAAAAATAATTGGTTTAAAGGTATGATAATTCATTTGAATTAGTTATATATGAATAATTTATTTGGTTATATTTGTCCAGTAATATAATATACAAAATGTTCGTAAAAAATATGTACACCAAATTTTTATAAAACCAATAGATATAAGAATTTTCCGCCGTTCCAAAAAAAAATAGATATAAGAATTATTTTTAAAAATCTCAGTAAGTTAGAAAAGTAAAATATTCTTTTTTGTTAAAATAAATAAATACAAAACATGTAATTAGTTGGAGATGGATTATTTTGTACACCATTTTTTGTATAGAAATTATATTAGAGTTGGAGATAATTTAAGGTGTTGGTATTTTGAAAAGTTGTCTATCATAAAAATAGACTAAAGGATTCAAAGTGTAGCATATCACCGAAGTGTAAAAATAGACTAAAGGGTTCAAAATGTAGCATATCACCTAAGTGCTTTTATTTTATGTTTAATTAAGAAATTACTTAAAACTTCAATGTTGTTATCACAAGAAATAAGTTACATTTTTACTTATTTGTTTTTATATGGTTTTAATTAAATTTGGTTGACCAACTATTTCAAGTGTTTCTAAAATTTAAACATTTTATTACATACCAACCATGAAAGTTATATATTGAATCGATCAATGTAACCTACTATAGCATTTGCCAACTTTCTTTTAATTATAATTCTCAACAAAATTAGCTTAATTCGGATAAAAAAATAGTCAAAACTATATAAATAAAAGGGTTGGTAACATGTTCTATTGCATGTCGACCAATTCAGGACAAACTTTCATTGTTTGCTATCGTTCGTTGTCCGAATTTTGTGTAAGCTTTTTATATATGTATATCATGTGTTTTTTAATTGTAAAATTGTGATACAAAAGGAATAAATTGCTTTACTTACTGAATTAGAGTCCAAGACCAAATAGATTCTATGGCTTATTCAGAAGCAGATGTGCACATCGGTTGGGTGGGCCTTTATCGTGCCTTTTGTAAATGGACTTGTCTTGATCAAAGTGGTCCCAAATGATTCTAGCCCAGTCTTATTTTTTGTTTTTGATTCATAGACTTCTTATAAAAAGCTAAATTCGAAAATGGGATTAAAGTCTGAATCATAAAATTCAGAAGAAGTCTGGCGAAAGGGAGAGGACGACATATCAAGATTGAGTTGAGTGAGTCTATTAACTTTAAGATACTTATAAAAATATCAGGAAAAAAAACATAGTCAGTCGACTCTAATGTAATTTTGTGTATGTAGGGATTCTTGCAAACCTGATTTCTGGGTCTTGATCAACCACACATCTTCAAACCTCAAACATTGAGCAAAATTGGAAAAAATAATGTTTGATATGGAACAAAAAAAATAGAGTTTCAAAATTGAATAAAAAAATTAAACTTAGTGTCAAAATCGAAAAAGTGAAAAAAAATCGATTTTGACACGTCAGCATGTCATGTCAGTATGTCACGTCAGCATGTAACTGGGTTGACCGATCAAGTGGTCAGAACTGTAACAAATTGGAAAATACAATGTCAAATTTGAAACAAAAAAAAAACACAATATCAAATTAAAATTTTGGTGTAAATTTGGTGTCTTTTGTGCTACTTACCCTACATTGAATTTTATCTAATGGTCATATCACTTTCTTATTTTTAACATTTCTAACTAATATGTTCTTAAACATGTATATGTTCCGATTTTGGTCCCTATAGTTTTAGTTTGTTATGAATTTAACTTAAATAAGTCGGTGTTGGAAATAAGAGCACCCATCCGAAGGGAGGAAAATAGGGGGAAGACGATGGAGGTTGGGAGTTCGGCGGGTATGGTATGGTGGGTGGTTTTTTGTAGAGCCCATTTATTTTTTTAGTTAAAATTAGTTAAATATAATTTAAAATTAGAAATGATACAACAGACAATTCACATAGACCGACGATCAAAATTGCAATAAAATTCACTGACGAACTGTATTTAAAAAAGAAAACAATTTGGACCAAGAATGAAACTTTTGTACAACCGTAAAAACCATATCTTTAATTTACTCTAAATTTTATATTACATATAATTGTACAAAATTATTTATTTTGAAATCCAAAACAAATCTAATGAGAAAACAGGAGTTCCATACCAAATTTGATGTAATTAACCTCAATTTGAGAGTTGAAAAAATTTATGTACATTTCTGTAATTAAATTGATGTTAGTATTTTAATACCGCATTCATCACACACACATAAGACTGTCTGATACTATATTTGACATCACAACTTCAATACACATTCAATGTGCATTTTGACTAAATTGAAAGTGGCATTAATAAAGTAAAACTGTAAAAGTTACAAATTTATCTAACCTAAAAAAAAGGACAAATCCTCTTTCTAAATATATCTAATAACAAAGGTACATACTTTTTTCTCATCAATAAATAATCCTAGCTATAGGTCCTTCCAAACTTATCAATAACCTCCCAAAATGTAGACATAACACACAATCCATAAATGGTACAAATCCAACCTTTTCAAACCCCTCCAAACATACCATAAAACCAACCAATTTTTTGGTAAAATCTGATTACAAACAACCCAAAAACATACCTTCAGAAATCACCAAAAAAAGATTTCAAAAAAAAAAGGAACAATGAACTATTGATTCCCAGTTCAATCCCTAATCTACCACCATAAAAAAAAATATAAGATTAAACAAAAAAAAAAAAAAAAAAAACTAGCTATTTTAATTTTAAATTTAATTTATATAGACGAAAGATCTTCATAAACCGTCTTAATCCCCGGACGCTCAGAAAGCAGCCGTAAACACCGCAACGCAATCCCAAGCACCTCCTTCATCCCCTTATCCGCCGCCGGAGTTCCCATTTCCGTCATCAACACCGCCTCAAAACAATCCGCACCCCGCCCTTCCGCCACCTTCAACCGCACCCAATCATTCAAATCCACCCCACCACCACCCTCTCCCGCCACCACATCTCCGGCACACTTTCCGGTCAAAAGCTCCAACAAAATAACTCCAAATGCGTAAATGTCTGATTTGAAGGAGGGTAGCGGCCGCTTGGATGCCGCCAGCTCTGGGGCCCGGTACCCGAGAACTCCGGCATCAAGAATTTGTTCGATGGTCCCCGCTTGTGTCATCAGACGGTGGAGACAGTAATCGGCTACACGCGCGTTTAGATCTTGACCGTCTAATAAAATGTTGGTTGACTTGAGGTTTCCGTGTGGGATTGCTCGGTCAAAATGGAGGTAGTTTAGACCGCGTGAGATGTCGACTGCTATTTTTAGCCTTTGTGCCCATGTCAATGGAGGCCCTTTTCTTCCCGGTCGATCTAAAACCCAATACACAAATGTTAATTAATTAATTGTATTGTGTTAGATGTAAGAAATAGCAATCTACTTTTTCATTGGTTTGTTTATGGGTTAATCTCATAAAAGACCTTGTATTTTGTGTTTATTCCAGATTAAACCTCATCTTTATTTTTTTCATGAAAAAGACCTTGTATTTTTTCATTTTTTCCGAAAAAAACCCTCTACTTTGTATTTTTTTTTTTCGAAAAAAACCCTCAACCTTCTGAATGTTCCTCAATCTTCTGAATGTTTCCTAATAAATACCCAACTTTTTTAGTGAAAAAAAAAACTCACATTTCACAACTCTTTTTGCAAAAAAATGATTAAAAGCGCTAGAATGGTAAAATTGAAAAAATGCAAGGTTATTTTCATGAAAAAATATAGATGAGGTTTAATCCGAAAAAAAACACAAAATATAAGGTCTTTTATGATATTAAGTATTAACCCTTAGTTTATTGATTATTATAGCATCCTAGTTTTGCTTCTTCCTGTTGGAGTATTATAGTTTGAAAAATCTAGTTGATTATTATTATGGCAAGAAATGAGTAATTGGAAGGAAAAAAAAATTAAAGTACAATGCTTTAATATACAAATTAATGAAAGTACATTGTTATTTCACGCATTTAGCTCTGTTTATTATTTTAGTAAATTTGATACAAATAAATGAAAAATGGATAAAAACGTATATATCAGATAAAACCTAATAGGTTAACTAGATGATCATCATAAAAATCTGAATACAGTCAATACACCATTGTACCTTCATTTTTTTCAATTACAACATTGTACTTTTCAAAAAAAATCTTATTAAATTATGAATTTGAAAGTCTACCTAATTATAACATTATAGTTTGAATTTTTTATTATCGCAATATACTTTGAAAAAATATACCGATCTATAGCAGTGAAAATTGCTTTGTATTTGGGTGACACTGCTATAATTGGCTAGAATTCCCAAAGCAACAAAAATAAAATCCTATTATAAAGTACATTGCTATTTGTAGTTTAGAAAAAGATTCATACCATAGAGAAAACTCGCAAGGCTTCCGGGAGATATATAATCCGAAAGAATTAGCTTCTCGTGTTGTGTGGGCCCCCAATAATACCCTCGTAAACCAACCACATTCGGGTGTCTAATATTCGCAAACTTTTTCGCCTCTTTTGCAAAATCCTTTCTTTGTTTCGCAACACCTTCTCGCAACCATTTCACCGTCAACAACAAACCGTTATCAAGGGTGGCGCGATACGACGTCCCGTGGCTGCTCCTCCCCAACACCTCCGCCGGAGCTCGCGAAAGCTCCTCCGGCGAAAACGACACCGTGTCATCAAGAAAGTAAAGTTCTCCCGCCAACCGATCCGGCGACCGGACATCAAGCCTCGAGAGGTTTTCGACGGTGTACGAGTCGCCGGAATCCGGCGAGTACGAGAAACCACTCGTTTTCGACGGTGAAAAACTCGCCACCGCACCACCACCACCGCCTCCACCAACGCCGATGACACCGCTCTTTTCCGGCGTAATCGTCTCCGATGACGACCCTTTTCGAATATCGCCGGTGGAAACCACCGCTCCTCCGCCGACAGTGTGGCGGCGGATGTCTTTCGTCCCGACTTCCACGGGCCGCCGTGAAACACGCATGTAATGGATGAAAACCGCTAGGAGGATTAAAATCACAACTGCAATAACACACGCGACAATTACAAGTACTTTGAAAACGGTTTTGATCGGTTTTTTCTTCCCGGAGGTGGAGTTACCGGAGTTTGGTCCGGCCGGGGGATTCGGAAACTGAAGGTTGGAGTTTCCGGGAAAGAAGGAAGATTCCGGAAACTTCCGTAAATTTTCCGGAACAACGCCGGAGAAATCGTTGTAAGACGCGTTGAATCTCGTTAAATTATCGGACAAATTCTTTAAGAGCGGGCCCGTGAAATGGTTTCCGGAAACATCTAGAGAAACGAGAGAAGTAAGTCCGGTTAAAGATTCTGGTAAAGAACCGGTGAATTTGTTTCCGGAAACATCTAGAACTTGAACTCCCGATAACAAACCGAAACCTTCCGGAAACTCGCCACCGAGTTGATTACTAGAAATATCAAGAACCCGAATCGTGGATACATTCGATAGGGAATTATCCGGAAAAAATTCGATATTTCCCGAAAGTTGGTTTCCATTAATGTAAAGTTCTTGTAAAGTAGGCATGGAGAGTAATCCATTTGGGAAAGGTCCATTGAAATGATTTGACCCGAGATCGAGTGATTCGAGTCTTGGAAACATTGTGATTACTTTTGGGATTGTTGAATTGAGAGAATTATGGGAAAGATTCAAGTGGTTTAGCCTCAAGAATTGAGATGTGACTTCTGGGAATGGACCGGTCAACTGATTTTGACTAAGGTCAAGAAACTCGATGTTTGCCCATTTGACTAATTTGGTCAAACTTCCTTCGAAATTGTTGTTTGATAAATCAAGAACAGTGCATCCACCCGTCACCAATGGAAGCTCACCCGTGAGGTGATTGTTGGATAGATTGAGGACTTTGAGAGTTGATGGCATTATCATACTCATTGGACCTGTGAATTTGATCAAAGAAATGTTTTAATGGAAAGAAATGAAAGTAAATTGATATAATAAATAAATCAATGATATTATTTTACCTGTGAAATTATTCCCACTCAAATCTAACTCGTTTAGCACCAACGAATCATCTTTCAGAAGATCATTCGGAATAAACCCGGAAAACTGGTTATTCGAGAGCTTAAGAACTTGAAGAACATATGCAAAATTAAAACTCGGAAGTTCTCCAGATAACTGATTGTAGCTCAAATCCAACATAACTAAGCTCCCAAACTTCAACAAACCACCGGAAACTAAAGATCCGGTTAACCGATTCCGGCTAAGATTCAAGTATTTCACAGTGTCAGAAATCCCAGGTAAGAACTTCCCATCTTGATTTGACGAAGTTAACAGATTCCCACTAAGATCAACGTGAACGGAAGTTGTAAAAAGCAGGAATTCAACGTCGAAATCACCTTCAAGCATATTCCCATGGAGGTCAAGAACTTCAAGCGCTATCATGTCCTGAAACCCTTTCGGGATTTTCTTTGTGAGCCCGTTCATTGATAGATTTAGGTAAACAAGGTTGTTTAGCGTTGTAATGGATGATGGAATTGGACCAGAAAACAAGTTGCGGCTTAAATCGAGAGATTTTAGGGAACTCAGCTCTGAAATCCAATCGGGAATTGACCCTGAGAAGCTGTTTCCGGCTAAAGACAGATTCATTAAGCTATTGACCTTACCGATATCAGGTGGGAGAGACGAATTGAAGAGATTATCGGAAATATCGAGAAACGAAAGCATTTCGCCTAATTTGTTTGGGAATTTTCCAGTCATGGAGTTGTTGGATATCGAAAGGGTTACCAATTTTGTGAGATTTGCGAATACATTCAAATCGATGTCAGCTGATAGTGACAGATGATCGAGGACCACACCGGCGACATTACCACCATTGCACATGATTCCATTCCAGGAAGATGGGCAGCCATTGAAGTCGATTGACTCTTCATTCCAGGAATTAAGAACGAACCCAGTTGGATCATGTTTGATTCCTTTTTTAAACTCCAGTAATGCTAAAATATCCTGGGAAGGAAGCTGACTCATAGCAGGAACAATACACAAAACCAGTAATACAACCCTAATCATCTTCTTCATCGAACAAAAAAACCCCAATGTAGCTCTGAACTTTTCTGAAAACTTAGATTAACAGCATTCACAAACACAATACGACTTGAAAGTAGGTTTTATCGGCTTCCCCAAATGGGTTTGAAGGCTATATATCCAGAACTCGAAAGGGTTTACCTAAATCAAATTGTAGAGCACACCAAGATTCATAAAACGAACAGAAAGCGGGTGTAAGAAGTAAAACGGAAGCAATGCAGTATGAAATGCTTGAAGGAAATGAAATTTAAACTACAAATGGAGTGTGGGTTTTAGGTTTTGTAAGATTTAGAGAATATCTTTACCCGTACTAGCGGTGGTGACGAATGTACAACAACTTTGAACACTGTTTCGAAAACCCTTTTTTTTCACTTGAAATAAAAGGTTGAAGCATCGACGAATCTTAGAGTGTAGATTTGCTGCATTTTAGTTGCTAGCATGGCCTGAAAGGGTGAGACATGAGCGCTGCCGTGGGTTGTCGGAGGCGGTGAGGGTGAGGTTACGGCGGAGCAAGCGTGGGGGAAGCACTCTGTGTGTGTGTGAGAGAGAGAGAGAGAGAGAGAGTATGTGATATTGTGATTTAAGACAGGACTTGTGGAGTGAATGGGCTTTGATGTTTCTTTTACTTTTTTTCATTTTAATTTCATTCTTTTGGATAAAGAATTCTCTGATTTATTTTGTTTGTCTCTTTAGAACTTTACTGAATGAAAATAGTTACATATTTATTATTTTTGTTTGTTTTTCTTAATTTTCGTACATATTTACTTTAGTGATATTTTTCAGAAAAAAAAATTGTAAAACTTTAAGCTAAAAATATCAACAAATTTGTAACACATTTCTTTATCATAGTTTTGTATTTTTTTCATGAGTCACATCATTACATTCTGATTAAGTAATACTAACAAAATTTTATTTATATATTAGATAAATTGGCTAAAACATAATATTCTAACAAAAATAAACTGAAAACATTGATTTATAGTCGAATAAGTTATTTAAAAGCACAATTTCAAAATAAGAAGTACAAATTAAAATAATAATGTTTTATTTTGGTAAATTTGATAAAACATAACATATTAACTAGAAAAACTTCAAACATACAATCATAATAATAAAAAATAAAAAATACAAAGAAGAAATACATAAAAATAAAAACTATATATATATATATATATATATATATATATATATATATATATATATATATCATTATTTTTCATATTTAACACATTAATAAAACCATATCAATATATTCAAATAAAAAATTAACAGCTTTTTACTAATAAAATATCTTTTTTACCAAAAAGGTACTATTTTTTATAGAAAAAGAAGGAATAAAAATGATGCACTTTCTTTTAAGGTGTTCAAGGCTTTTTACGATATAAGTAAATCGATTACCAATTTTTAATTAAATAAAAAGCGGGAAAATGAAGCGTATTTTCGCATAATCTGTCAGTAAACAAAAACTTTGCCCGCCAAAACAAACTTTCCGTATTCTAATTAACCTAATCCAGATTAACGTACATATTTCATTGCATAAAGTACATGTTGCTTAAGCTTTACAATATGAGAATTGGACAAAAAGGTGGAATCTTTTGTTTCTATATAGTGGACGCCAAAGTAATGTATAAGATGTACTTAAGTGGTATGTGTGGGGTCCGCGCGTGTTAAATAAGTGATTGTTACCAAGCGGCATAGGGAACGTGGTCAATGTCCAGGTAGGACCAATGGTGGGGCCCACGGAGATGACGGAGGAAGACGGGAGGTTGTCAGCGTCAGGTTTTTATAACGGGAGGTGAAGTAGGTGTTAGGGTTAAGAGGTGTAGGGACAATGGAGATATGTTTGTTTATAAGGTTTTCACCAAATGGATTGTGACAACATGAAAAGTATTCGAAATAATGTGGATATCTTAGTCATAATCTCATACTAACTTAAATTATACATATCAGATGTTACATAAAAATAGATTGTTTGAATGTTTGTTGTTAAATAGAATAGTATATATCATGCTAATGGCTATTGCATGAATCATTAATATTAAATGAATGGTATCGGTGGAAGTCTACACATATCATCGGCATTTTATGCAATCTAGATAAATGTAATATTGTGATAATAAGTTATTTGTGGGTAGTGGGTGTAACAATATAAGTCGTTGATCGATAGCAATTTATTATGGATGTTTTTATTTTTATTCGTACTCTTTTTTAATTTTGTTGACATATGTTATGAAAGCAATCAAAGAAAAGTACAAGTAATAAAACAACAACATTTAATCTAGTTCGGTCGATATGACCTACGTATACATACACAAATAGGATAACTCTTCTATTACTCGAATGTTTCAAAAATGAAACGTTGGAATCTCTGGTTACGGATACTCATAACCATAAACTCTAATAAATATATGGTCGAGCCCATAAGTAAATCCAGGATAACTAAACAAGTTCATACTGAAAGGCCCCCTGTCGTGCACTCTCCATAGATAGGTGTTTGTCTAGTTGTGGGCCCAAACATTTATCCATACAAAATCGTCATTCAAGTTTCTTTATATCATATTTATCACCAAATTTCAAGTCACGCTCTAATAATCTCTACCTTGACTTGATTTGTCTTCAATTATCAATGATTTCCAATAGTCATCTTTTTTATGTCGTTTTCCTTGAAGGGACTTACCTCCTACGAACATTCACCAAGTCGAAAAAATGTTTGAGCTTCTTCGTTAGTAGCGCTTTTGCTAACATATATATTGGGTTCTCTTTGGTAGCTATCTTCTCATTATATAACATGTATTCTTTTAAAATATCACGAATGAAATTAAACCTAACATCATTATGCTTCGTCTTCTCATGATAAACTGGATTTTTTGTCAAACTCTGTCACACCCCCAAACCAGAATGGCGAAAACGTCTGGGGGTGTATGACTTTCATATACAGTATCATAACAATTGAATACTAGCGATCAAAGAATTACAACCATTGTATTGAATATTTAATAAGTTGTGCTAAAAAACATTGTCTACATGACAGCAAATGCATATGACAAAAATAAATAACGTGATGCGACGACGCCCCATCCACCAAAACTCTTGTGATTACCTGTTTACTAGTTTCCTGAGAATACAAGTGATTTTGAAAAGTGTCAACAATTAAGTTGGTGAGTTCATAGGCGTTTTGTATGAGAAGGATTTGCAACTGTTTCGTGAAAAATGATAGTGTATGCTTTTAGAAAATCCAATATTTTCTTTAAAAATAAATCGTAAGTCTTAACCCCCAAGACTAAAAATGTAAGTAATGTTGTACTGAAAAATAGTGTTATGAAGTTTTATCTTTATATAAAACTACTTGAATGTATGTTAACCTCGTAAACCAAATATATTGTTAATACTCCATGTGAGTTATTATAACCACACTAATACGACTAGTGACCTGCTACGACGTTCTTCAGGCGTCGGAACTGTTACACATTTGTCACCCCAGACCTGCCGGTCTAACTATAGCTAACAGTTTAGGTGTGTGGTTGTCAATCACGTATAGATTTATACACAAGTGTCACTCTCTCCCTACAAGAGACTCTGGTTATAATGCAGGACTTAGTGTGTACCCTGGTAGGTACGGTGAAGCCAAATGTCTCACAAAATTGTATCAACCGGTTTACGTGAACTGAAAACCCCTTTTTATTGTAAATTAAATAATTATACCTTTAAATAATTATATGTTTCTTCCGAAATGATAGTGTAGTGTTTGTGACTCCTAAACTATACCAATTATAGTTTATCATGTTTGTTTGTCAATACTATTTATATAATCATTTATATAAATTTATAGTAGTTATCTTGTCTAGTTTCAAAATGTAAGGTCAAACATCATATTTTTGGGTTGTAACCCATAAAATGGTGAAATAACTAGAATGTACCCCTTTTTGTTAGAAAAACTATATTTTGGTAAAAGCTCAAAAAACCTTGTAGTTTTGAAATCATAAATTTTCCTTATGATTATATAACATAGTTTATATCTTGTTGTTGTTAATTTTACATCTCAAAACTATTATATCACAAATAATTGTCCAAAAGCTAGTGATAGTCATATTTTATGCAAATAATGTTTTATATTTAACATAGTGATGAAACATGCAAGTATTTGTATGATAACCCAACTTTTACTTGTATTCCCCCCTCCCCTAAAACATAAAAATCTCGAAAATGTGGGGGTATGAACTCACCTCGAGTGTGGTTGTGGGTTGTTTGAAGGGATGATGTGAAGATCTCCAAGCCTAAACACTTGGATGGGGTTGATGAACTTCCTTGGAAATGATATTATCCTAAGAGTTTTAACACATAATAGTGTGTGTAAATAAGATGAAACTAGTGTAAAAGTGTGTAAAAACACTAGATAATCAAGAAGAACTTACCAAAACTCTAAGAACAAACTTGAAGAATTAACCCTTAGAAGATTTTTGGACTTGATTATTGAGAGAGTTTAGAGTAAATAGAAAGAAGATATGGAAGTGGTGGGGGTTTATGGGGTGATTTCGGCCCAAGATAAGGAAGGAAAAGTGATGGGATATTTGCTTTGTTATTTGTTGGGTATTTGCTTTGATATATGCTGGGTAGAACCTTGGAAAGGATGAAACATCAAGTCAAGAAGTCAACCTTCCTTTTCTCTTTATTCCCACCGAAAACCCCATAAAAACCACCAAAATCATATGTGATTTCAGTCTATGCATCAACCGAAATCACATGTGATTTCGGTCTATGTTCCAACCGAGATCACTTGTGATTTCGGTCCTAGTGCAAACCCAAATCACTAGATTGTTGGGGTCCTAGGCCGAAAGCTCTAAAGCAAGGTTTAATTTATGATTTGTGCTCTAACTTGTTGACTTTCAAAGGTTCATTACGAACATGGTTTTCAAAGTATATATATTTACTTATACAAATGATGT